AGGAATTGTAAACTTTAGTAGCAATCAAAACTGGCCTTATTTAATATGGTAAACTGCCTCTGACCCAAGACTTTTTTCCATCTTGACAAGCAGAAAAGCTGAATGTAAGCGCAACTGTTTTCTGTATTTATTACTGGATTTTTCAGAAAGACCACTTGGCAAAGTTTCTCAGGTCTGTTGGCCATTCCAACCTCCTGGTGCCTCCAGGTGATGAAAAACTTTGATACATTAATTATAATTTCTCATCTACATCATGACACTTAATAACGTGGTGCTCCATCCAGGCCATAAACTTTTACTTCTCTAGAAGCCATGCAATGCAAAATTGCTGACCAAATGGCCTGCTTGGTTCATGCAGCTTCCACATGGCTCCCACCTGTGGACATGCAGTGTCCTAAAAGCTGTACTTAAATACAGTTGGACTAACATTCTGTGTAAATGTTTTTTAATTTTTCAGAGAATTCTGTGCAAATTACCCAGGTAGTTGTCATTTTTGTGTTCATTTTTCTAGAAGTACCTAGAGGTAACAGTTGGGATCATGACCTCATGAGAAGAGGTACATATAAAGGTACATAAAATAAGTAACTATCTTACTTCTCCTGTGACTATACACTGGATGAAACAAAAATATAACAGCTTAAATATTATATTTTAGCATTGTGGGGGGTCATTAAGGAGGTGAGATTAAAATCCTATACACAATTTATTCAAAATTAAAAATTAAATGTGTGTGCATAACTCTATATAGAAAACAGAGTTCCTTTATATGGACTACATGCTATTGAAGGCTAGCAGAAACAGCAAAAATGTTTTTATCTTAAAATTAAGTGGAGTATTTTTCTTTTACATTTATGCTCTCTTAAATAAATAAAAAGCTAAGAGTGCTTTCATTTGCTATGATACAGTAATCTGAATCTCAGCTAAGCTTCATCCTCCCTTCACAGACGAGAAGGAAAAAGCACCTCCACAGAACAATGTGTGACATACTCTAGACAATAAAATCTTAAAATAAGATCAACTGCCTTGTGTAGGTACTTTTTTTTTGTGTCAGTTGACATAAGAGCAGCCCACAAAGATTAACTCAGGCATAGATGTCTAATTAGTAGCTATCTCAATCTTAGAGATGAATCCAGCTTTTATGTATTGTAGGTACACTATTTGACTGATGTTTATTCTAGTGAGTGGGGGGCCTTAGGTCAATTTTATTATATAGTAACATTAAACCAAAATATACATCATCTATTAGAGAAGAGGAATTCAGTGTATATCTATTTGATCTCTTCATTATATAACTTGTTACTGGTTTTGAGGATGGAATGAGTGTGTGAGGAGTTACAGCAGAGCAGATTGGAATAACGGACAAATGCAGTGTTGGCCTTCAACAGCAATCATCACTGTGACTACAGCAGCAGCGATTTGTTCCGGCACAGAATTTAGGCATGGCAGCTGAAATTCAGGCCTATTAAGACAGTAAATGGACCAGAAGGGAACTTTCCTATAGGGCTGAATAACTGGAGGCATGGGAAGGGAGAGATGGATGAATGAATGGATGGATGGGTGGGTAACTGCTCCCTCCATTATAGTGACAAAGAACAGATGCACAAAGACATGAGCTTTGTGGCAGTTGGGCCCCATTACTGCTCCACTGTTGGCTCATTTTTTATAAAACTGGGTGGGTGGGGCATTTTTTGTTGAAGTGTGTACATCTCCGGTACACGTCACAAAAGTCGCATCACTCAAAGCAAACGGGCAAAAGAACCTGTGACCCTTTGAGTCCAACCACTTTCAGACCCGCAAGGAAGTTCCTTTTTCTTAAGTACTTACAAATTTAATTAAAGAGCAGGGTTAAATTTGGTTGATAGGGTTAAATTTGATGATACAGCTAAATCCTCTATGGCTTTAGACAAATCCAGTTGTTATTGTGCAAGATTGCCTCCTGGTGGTAGTACCAAGAATCTGCAGAACAACATAATTTGCAGAGAAAAGGCAAAAACCTGCTTTAAAAGCATACTTCCTTTTTTAATTCCGGTCTAACTAGAGGAAGTGAAAGAATTTTCTTTTCACAAAGACATCAAGATCAATTGAGCTGCGATTTAAATGGTCCGAATTGAGGACAAACATTCTGACACTTGACTGAAGCAGAGTTTTCTAATGGCATGCTAGCAAGCAAAGCCTGAGAAAACTTTTAGTGAGACATTAAAAAAGAAAAAAAAAAAGAGTAAATAAAGCCCAGTAAGATGCACTCAACTGTATACCATCCACAGCAATGAGCCTAGTAAGGTCTGAAAACACTTAGTAAGTACTGGATCCAAAGCAAATGGCTAAGTGCCTAAAAGCGGAGACAAAGACACCAGAGCAGACTTAACATTCAGTGAATTCTATGCAACTAAAGTTTTCAATTACGAAGAACAAGAGCAACAGAAAACAGAAATCCCAAACTAACTTTCAAATGGATTATTCTTTTGCATAGAAGTGCGACAATAATCAAATGGATGGATTTCCAATTCCAAGTTTTCAAGTGAAGAGAAACAGGTAAAGACAGCTTTATGTAGTTGTTCAAGGCCTAGAAAATTAGGACAGCTTGGAATTACTGTGAGAGTAGGATTTTAATTAGGTTATGCTTCAGGTGACCCAGGAGAAAGATTTCATATAAGAGAACATAGATTAAGAGTGGCAGGGAAAGATTTTTAAATATCAGTTTTATCAATTTATTTAGTAAATTGATGTACCCATGGCAGAGGGTACATGTAGTGAACATGTGTTTTAGACTCAGTTTCCAGTAACTGGTCAGGAGAGGAAGTACTTTAACGATAGCAGTCCAGCACATCATAGACTCTCAGCCCTCAAAATGCCTGAAAAGCATCCAAAAATTTTTGGGAAACATTGAGAAATCAAACATTTCTACAGTGATCGTGGCTGTTTGATCATAAACAGGGTTTGACAGGCAAGAGCGGAAAAATGTGATAACAGAAGGTTTCTGTAAAGCAAAATGTCTTAATAGTATTAGGCATTAGGCAGTAAGGAAAAGTATTGGGGAGAAGAACAGGGGGAAATAATTGAAAGTTTAAATTAATCCAAGGATATCTTTTCTTACACTGGAGTAAAGTCAACCAATGACAAATTAGGTCTCGGCTCTCCAAAAAACAAAGGGAGCTCAATTTTATGCAGCGGAACATAACAAAACACTAAAGATGAGATGTAAGCTGCTCACTTACGGACCAGTATCAGGTATCATGAATTGATGAAAATACTAAAATTTGTACTACAAATTAGTAAAAACTATTTTAAAAGTTATAGGCAGAAAAAAAATGGTTATTTTCATGTGATTGAACTTGCAGAGTAAGCAGCGATCCTTTTCCTAGACACAATAGACATTCTTTCATGATAGCATGTTTGTTATCACACGAGCAACACATCGTCTAATACGGAGCCAAAATGACTTGGCTGTTGTGGGCTTAAACATGGACTGAGATATCTTACAAGCATAACAGAGAGAATAAGCAAAACGATTTCATGCTCTGCCATGATAAACCGTTATCAGCTAACTGGCATTCAGATTTAAAAATGCATTTTTAACAATAACACCAAGATAAATACTTGAGTAAAATTATCCAGAAGTATTTAAAGGCAGTCTTTTTACACACATCCAACATTGCTTTTTTCACGATTAAAGGAAATTCAAGGAAAAAAGGTTATTTAGTAATAACTTTAGAAAAGTAAGCGTTCTTTATGCTAACGATGACCAGGATTAGAGACTTCTAGCAAAATCTGTAGATAACACACACTGACAAAATGACACTAGACTAACGGAAGAAACAAGAACGTTCCCAGCTTATCCAAGTTGCTTTGGAAAGGAAATACAATCAAAATGTATGACACATATGGGATAATTATTTTCTGATTATTTATTAGGATCTGCTAAGAAGACTTAATAATTAAGTCACTGGGATCTCTGCAGAAGCACTATGTTCCAAGCTAGCCCTTTCTATCAGAAGGCTGATGCCTAAAACTGTAGGCTGGAGTAAAGAATCTCCTTTTCCTGAGGAAAAAAATGCTAGATGACACAGCATGTTATAATAGCAGAGTCATTTAAGCACTGCAAAATGTTAAAGCTATGAAGTATAATCCACATTCCTTTTATTTAAAGCATTTTATATAATAAAGGGCCAATCCTTCCCCCTACGTAAGCTAGAAAGAGCTGGGAGTCTTCACCTTCTTGCTGAGACCAAGAACTCTTCCTCATTTTAGCCATAGGAAAAGCTGACCATGACCCCAGCTACAGTTATTCCGATTTATAATGAATACAGCATCCTCACTGAATGGTAGCTGGGGTGGGGTTAAAAAACAAAACTGAGCCCCCCCAATGAACCACAAATGCACACAAGTTACCTCAGATATTTGGGAACGCTGGGTGATTTAGAAGGGTGAGTTACTATGCCTTGGAAGCCACAATTTAACCAAGTTGGCCAGTTTTCAGTACGTGAAAATAGCCTTACATACAATCACTTGGCTGATGTAGTATTAAACATGGAATCAGATATCTTAAAAGCATAATAGAAGCAGCAAAAATGTCACTGTTTTCATAAATACCTCATATAATACTTTTCATCAATACTATTTCACTGATACCTCAGTATTCAAGCTGACCTGCATTTCAGTTACTAGATTTCTAAAAAAAACCAAAAAAAAAACCCCCTCAAAATAACACTGAACCCTAACGTGTCCAGTTCTAAACTTCCCATTTTGACATTCTAATATGCATTCACTTTACCAACCATAAGCCTCTGACCGAGTTTAATCGGAGTGCTCCATCACCTGCTACGCACAGTTCTACGAGTCACACATTTGCTGACCGCACGCGTACAAAAGCCTTCACCGGATCCTTGTTTCAGTGGTGCAGTTCTGCTGGTTTTCTGTCAAACTAGCTGAAGTAGGAAATAACAGTCAAATGTAGTTATGCATGTTTTCGTTACAGCACTCACACAGAATTGCCAAACACCTCACTTTCTGTAATTTTTATTTCCAGTACAGATTAATAGCAAAGCACTGATGATCAAGAAGTTATCTTAATTATCTGTCTTTAGGAGGATTAGGATTCTTGCGTCTTCTATGATACCTGGAAGAAAAAAAGGCTGCAGTGAATGGAAGCTTTGGACAGTCTTTGATTCTTCTGATATTTCCCCCCGCCAGAGAGTGGTCTGGAGGTTACACAAGTAAGTAAAACACAAGATACACAACCACAACCCATCACCGTTCATTAGATGTCAACTCCGTTGTTCATGGAGTTACGTAACGCTACTCATTTCTATTGCTACATCTGCTACAAGCACGCAATAGTCCAATCAGTTCTACAGCTGAATAGGTACAAAGGCTGCTGTTTATTCTTAATGCTTTGTGTAAAGTTAATTTTATTACATGGTCAGCTTTTCCTATGGCTAAAATGATTGCTACAGAACAAAGAGACTTGATGTTTAAAGGAGTTATGCCAGACTGTACGTTAAATAGTGTAATATTTTGCAGACAAACTAAAAAGAAAATGCTTCACAACAAAAACGATCCCTACTTTCCTCTTAATTGTCCACCCTAAAACAATTAATATCCTGTTTGGTGCTCATTAAAGTGACAAAGTAGAATGCCATTTGTTTCCAGTGGTATATCTGAATGTCTAAGTTCCTCTTTAAGCTCAATCATGCATATTTGCACCTCTCCTCCTCCTGGCTTTCTGAGTACAAAGCACACCAAGGTGCGCTTTTCACCATTTCACATGAAAACCCTCTACTATTCCTAAGTCCGAGACTCATCCCATTCAGTTTTTGTCTGAAAAGTTTTTAAGGAATAGACAATGCACGTTTCCAAGCTGTATTTTGTTATGTCCATTAGGGTATTTTACATACTAATTGTCTTATGCTGACTTCACTTATGCAACTTTAATAAATCACCTGAACCAGTAGCTAACTAAATGGTATGAAAAATTCCTACTCTGTGACATATTTTAAAAAAAAAAAAAAAAAGTTGCAAAGGCTACCAAAGGGCCAGTGTTTAAAACCCCTTACGAAATACAGTCTTCCGTTTACACAACACTGCATTTAAGATTTTGTGTAGTAGCCCATGTCCTAACAGTATCTGCTCTCACATGACTTATCCTAGGTTGAATCTAGTCTTTATATTATTTCTGTATCTCCTTTTACATCCCAAAGGAATAAACATTGAAAATACTTACTGTCCCACAGGATACCAGCGATGTTTTGTTGTGTAAAACATTTTGCTGAGCTCTTCAATTGTAGGACCTGTATTGTTCTTTAGCTCTTTCTTATTCAATCTAGACTTCAAAACTTGATCAAGGGTTTCTTCTTTATTATTCACTGGATCTGGCCGTGGTATGGGCTATAAAAACAGTAGTGTACACATTTTATTTTTCTCCTTTTTTTTTTGAGAAAAACAAAAAGCCAAACCACATAGATAGCATGACAATTTACTCTCAACAGCTGAAACCAAAGGAATACAGAAGAATACTTGTAATTTTAAAGGCTGTTTACTGCCCCCCACCTCGAACAAAACTACATCAGTGTGGAACAGCTATCCAGAAACATCCAATTACCACAGGTGCTAGAGCTGATTACCCTACCCCTAAAATCTGCACTGCTGTCATCATTATTGCTGATCTCATCCTTACAATTCACTAGCTGAATCAAAGCTTCAGTTCTACTAATACAAAAGTACTCATATTATTCCTATTTAGAAATTTATTCATCGTGATCATCATCATCGCTAAAAAAGCTTTTAGGTGATTTGTACCTTGGAGAAGAATGTCACTTCCTAATTATTTGTGGATCTGCTAAGACAGAGACATTTGTTCTCAACCCAAAACCTAACTACTAGCACCGTTAAAAATATTTTTCCTTGTTTTAGTCTTTTACACCCGTTTTTCCTGAGAGACATGCAAGTGATAGATTTAAAAATACTGATATGTAACTTGCCGGCATGTTTTAAGTTTTCAATGAAGAATTTTCACATTGGGTACTCCAGCAAGGTAGCTACTATTTGGAGTATTTTACTAGCACGTGAGAACTGAAAATTTAAACAGGAAGCGTACACTAAAAAAGTTTATCTAGACTTACTTTTGTCAGTGTGAAGAACACATTGAAAGTACTACTGATAGATAAAAATTCAATATTTGTATTTTTTTGTGGTGTTTATGCACCCAGAGTGCTGAATGGAATTTAAAGCTCGAGTTGAAAAGAGCAGCAGCAGCAGTTCTTTATATCCTCTTGCCCAGACTGCTGCATCTGTACCCAGTTGGGAGTGTGAACTATAACCTGCACTTTGAACATCCTCTCTGAGGAGTACACTCGTAGACAGATACTAGTTTTCTCTGTAGCGCACAAGTGTTTGAGTGCCTCATTTCATTTTGAGTTACTATATGCTGTGATATCTGAGCAATTCTTACTCTGCAACTTTCCCTCAGTTCATCTAAGAATGCGGTCTTGCTCATGGCAGCAGCTATATTAATCATTTACTTACTTCACAGACATGCTGATCACGTAATAAAAAGTACCTCAGTATTTTACATTAAAAAAAAGTCCGAAAGACTCAAAATTATGAACTACTTATGCCTTTACATGAGTAAGAAATAAAAATGTGTACATACCTTTGTATGCTCATATGGAATCTCAAGCGAAGGGTGGTAGCAGACGATTGTCTTCAAATCTGATGTCACTGCAAGCTCCACTTTGCTATAAAAATAAAAATTAACACTCAAATATATCCCTTTTTTCAGAAATGCTGAGCAACTGAACAGCCCAAGTCCCAAAGAAAACCAGATTTGACCTTGCATTTATGAATTCTTAAGAATCTTCTATTAAAAAAGCCCCTTATAAAATAAGGGTCACAAATACTTGATCTGAACTTCCTCTTCCTCCCCCCCCCAGCCATCTTCATGTTTCTTTTTTGGATGGAGAGGAAAAAAGAGCTAAAATAAAATATTAAAGATAGCTGGAAATACGGGGGAGGGAGGGAATCTTTAACACTTTGAATAATTACATATAAAACTGTAGCAACACATGGGGGTAACGATCATCAGAGATACCTAGGACATCATGCCTTTATAAGAAATATGGCACCTACACAAGAAAGAATAGAAAACAAAGCTCTGTTTGGGGTTCCAACTTGTATATTTGGTAAAAGATGATGAGCATGATGAACAAAAAATCCTACTGAGAGGTTCCTTGAGGGAATATGACTCTCTTCTCACCTTCCTTCCTTATTAACTTCCATGACACATTACCTTCCTAAAACTTTGTATGACACGGATGCTCTGTTTCTCACTAGATTTGTATCATCTTTTCCAGTTTCTAATCAAATTTCCCATGCAGCAGCACAAAAATACTTGGACTCTGTCTTAACAAGCGCCAGTGAAAATGACTGCTCTTAGCTACTTTTTGCTGTTCCACAGACAAAACTGCAGGGGTACTGGGGTCATCACCACATTTGGTATTAGTGCTGCATGATTTTTCATTATGCTTATTTTTTGAAATAGTAACTTCACAATCATTACAATCAGAAGCAGTACTTCACTTTGTTACATATATCCACAACTGGCAGAAGATGTATTTGATAATTTGCCATTATATGACAACTTCACGACAGAGAAAGTAGCCCTGGAATAAATGTCACATGAAAAGGCCACACATCAAAGCACGTTTAAGTACCAATTGTAGTCTTCAGGGAGAACCGAGTATGTAGATTTATGGCAAGCATGATACACAGCTCCATCTGAAAAAAAAAAAACAAAAAACAAACCCAAACACGTAAAGAACATTAACGTAAAAACAAACAGAGCCATGCCAAATTTAAGAATGTTTACATTTTCATTCAGTTCTAAGTCTTAATCAGGGATTATAATCATACTCAGATTTAGATTAACAAAACCCAAATACTGTCTGAATAGAAGTTCCCTTTACTACACAGGATTCTAGTGCAATCAAAAAGTACAATATCTAGGTAGGTAAGGCCTACATTTACCTTTCCAATTGTATTGTTTTCCTAAGAAAAATCACAGTATGAACGAAATACCTATAGGTTTCACCATTAGAGCATATTATTTATATATGCAAAGAACATTACCTTATGACTTAGAGGGAAGATCATAATTTCATTCATAGCAGTATTTATTATAAAACACAAATTTGTACTTCGCTCGCAGCTGCTATATATGTTATACAAAACACAAAACGGTAACATCTTCGCTGCTGTAACACTACAGAACTTTACCCCTTGCCCCAGGTTCCTGTTGCTCCAAGGAAAGCAATTACAAGTAGTAACGAAGGACAACAGCATCTGCGACTGTCCTAAGTGGGCTGAGAGAAGGGATTATCTCCCTCTACTCAGCACCTGTTAGACCACATCTAGATAATATGGCCAGTTTGGGGCCCTTTAATAAAAGATTAACTAGAATGAGTTCAGCAAAGGCCGGCCAAGATGGTCAGGCGCTGCAGCACCTGCCCTGTGGGGAGAGGCTGAGGGGCCAGAGCTGCCTCAGCCTGGAACAGAGACAATTTTGGGGAGATCAGCAGCAGCCCCCAGTGACTATGCATGAGGATGGGGGTTACTGAGGAGAGGGAGCCAGTATGTTCACAGCAGTGCACAGTAGGAGGACATGAAACGACACCTGTATGTTGAAACGAGAGGCTCTGACTGGATATGCAGAGGAACATTTTCCTCGTGAGGACAGCCAACCAGCGGGACTGGGGCCCAGGCAGGGCTGTGCAGTCTCTGGCCTTGGAGAGTTCAAAGACCCAGCTGGACAAAGCCCTGAGCAACCTGGTGTAATTGCAGAGCTGAGCCTGCTTTCAGCAG